TTAATATGTTAGTCACTAATACCATTCTATTCTTAATGGCCACACAAATGATACAGCTTTTTTGGAAACTAGAAGTATTTGGTTTCCTGGATTCCAAAGTAAAAATATTTCACAAGCATTTAAAATCATTAATTTTAAAAAGAGATTTTGTTTTAATTTTTAAAGAAAGCAACTAAAACAAAGCCTATCCTGATATAGAATAGAAAACCACATTAGCCACAACATTGTGTTTTAAAAGATGGGAATTTAGTTTATACTCATTTTATGTTAAGATATAAGTTAATGACTTATATGTTACAGTTTTATCACAAAATGTTACTGCTCAGTGCATTTTGCAAATAATAAATAATTCACCGAGAGTATTAACATTCACCTACATAATTAGAGTTTACAAATGTACAAAACTTCAGATAACAAACACTTTAAACTTATTTTTGAAACATTCAATAAGCCCCTTCCCCTAAAATTGTTTGATTACAAACTGGGACAAAACAGAAGAAACAAAAGAGGGGAGGCAGATACAGACTTGAGAACATAAGAACATCCAAGCAATTTGGTCAATATCAAAAGATAAAATAAAAATATTTTTAATAAAACAAATCCTCGTAATTAAATACCAGGTAGGTGAAAGAACATTGTACGATATATATAACATTTATTTTCTTTACATCAAGTTGCATATCTTAAATTTAATGTAAAATACCGCGTTTCAAGTTAAGAGTATAACTAACATGTATTTCTTGGTGAATCTAAATGTAATGGAATGAATATTTAAATAGTTCCCAAAGATTTTATCAAGTTTTTATTTGGTCATTATTCTTTTAACTCTTTAATGTTTTTCTTTTCTTATTGGACTAAGCCAATTTTAGAAATAAAATCCACAATCAGAGCACATATAATGCAGCTGTTTCTGAAAATACTACACAGAAGAGTCTTTAGTGTGTCATTAAAATAGTGGTTGCCCTTAAACAAACAAGGAAACAACCAAACAAAAATTACTGCAATTCATGTATGATAAAAAAAAAGTCATGAAGCAAAACTTTAGAAGTTTTGCAGTGTATTTACACTTTAATAAAAGAAATCTGGATAATGTGAGTAAAATGTGCCTGATGAAGAACAAATGAAGTTCCCAGTTAACACTGCCTTATGTTTCAGAGCAGTGCCTTTGTCCTCATATTTTACATCAAGAATAGATGTTCACAATCCACTAGCTGTAGTTTTGATGTCCTTAGAAAATGAAAGTATCTAATCCTGGTTCATGTACACCTTCCTCCTGTGTTTTATCATCTTCACTTTTGAGATCTGGGACTTTGTGCCCAGGACATATAGCACTGCAAACTTAGTAGAACTGTACCCGTTGACAGTAGACAACTGAATTAGATTCATAAAACGGGAGGCTATTTTCATCTATGAAACAAAGCACTAAATCACAATTTTACAGTCACAACACAAGCCCCAGCTCTTCCTAGGCACAGGGGAGCAACCTAAAACAAAAGAAAAAAAAAAAAAGAGAGATAGGTGTTGGATTTGTACATTAAAAAAATGTTGATTATACAACACGAGTTGGTAAAATTCTGAAATAGTTGTGTACTTGTTGACAGGGAGTTGCTGCCCAGAGCACTGATGTACTAGCCGTACTGCTGGCCTGGTTCCTCCCCTTTCACTTATAGCATAAACTATAAACTATAAAAAAACTGTAGGATAGGTTTTAAATAACTACTTTGAGCAAAGTAAAAATCTTTGATCTGACTTAAGAGGGTTTAAATGTTACCATTTGGTGAGGAGTAACAAATATAAAGCACTAGGAAAGTCTGCTTTGTACTTACAGATGTGGGTGCATAATAAAGTGTTTTTGTCAAATATACAATACCAAAGTAACTTCGTAATCAGTATGACCTCCCAAGACAAACGAATGGATTTTGAGAGCAGATCTAGACTTCAACTGTTACAGAATTCTCAGATGTCCTCTACTTGAGTCACTTGTTTTGACACTGTTGTATCTTCTTTAACAACCAAACTATTTTAGCACCATACCTATTGATGGTTTTTTAGGAGTAACCTTTAAATCATTTAAGTCAAAATGCCTGTTTGCAATGCAGCACTTTTTCTCAAAATACCTAAGATACTAGGTCTCTAACAATGTGAATACTTGAGGTTGTCATGACAACCAACTAGAAAGCTTAGCTTAAGAATTTATCAAATACAATGCAGTAGTTACCTCCTGGTTTGGCTCCAGGCTGGTAGTGTGTGGATAGTAGTTTTAAGACTTTGGAATCTCATTTTAGTCCCTGTACAAATGTCCTCTTGTCTGTTTGTCAAAACACTGATAGGAAAATGTTTATTTTTCAGATAGTACAGTTTTAAGTTCACATTTACCTGTATTGGTGGCATGCAAACCATATAGCTATGTAGTCACAAATTTTTAATTTATTGATAGAGTGAATGAGCATAAAATATTATTTGTAATAACAACTCTCAAATACTGGTCAGTAGATTTCCTCGTAACTGGCCTAAGGGCTTATGTCAAACATATCTCAGAAAAAGATTCTTCTGTCTCTTTTGGGCTCCCTGGTTGCTTCTGATGTGGTGTGAGACCGATGGTAGGTAATCACATAATTTCTAATGAAATCAGTTAGTATTTATTCCAAAATGCTTGAACTCAAACTCTCAGTCTTATCCCTTCTTTCCTCTACCAAATGATCTCACTTATTTAAGAAACAAGATCAAAGTGTAAGTCCCTTTTTCTATCCTTCTCTTCAGTTAAACACTCTGTACCTGTCTACACCCCCCCCCCTCATCTTTTCTTCCAGCCTTGGAGGATAAAATCTTTCCTCTACTCCTGGATATGACCTGTCTTTCCTTCTCCCAGCAAAGTGGGCTTCAGTTTGGCTCTTTCTCAGCAAAACTGGAATTGCTCCCTGGCCTCTTACTGTCATTCTTACTGTTAAAAACAAACAAAACTCTTTGGCTCAAATGCTAACTCTACCATTTATTTGCTACGTGACCTTCAGCCAGGTATTTACCTGTGTCTGAGATTCCTCATCCTGTACAGTGGGAAAATAATAGTACTTCCTTACAGGGTTGTTGAGAGGATTAAATAAGTTCTTTAATAATATAAAGTGCTTAGAACACAGACTGATAGATAAAGTTGTTCAATACATGTTATCTATCATCATCATTTTAAAATCTCATCATTTTAAAATTGCATGCCCCTGTACTTCACACCCTTACTTTTATTCTTCCCTTTACTTTGTAAACTCTGTGCAGTGGCTTGTGCTTCTATTACATTCTCAATGGTCCCTACAACCTCACAAATGACTCTTCATCTTCAATCTTCCTTTATGGCAGACACCTCTTTTCCTTCCTTTATCTTCTAAGGAACTTTCTGATCATTCCTTTGCTGTTTTCTTCAGAAGCTACATCTTTTAATAGATGCAGTAAATGTGAAGACATAAATAAAACCCTGACAGGACTTGGTGATCTCTCTTGAATCCAGCCTTTCCTTCCCTCCTACTATTTTATGTACACAACACCTCAAGCCTTACAACTGAAACAGTTTTCTGGAATGCCTTCCTTCTCTCCAGCCTTCGCCTGGGCCTGCTCCACCCCAATTTACTCTGTCTTCAATGCCGTCCCACTGAACTTTCTGTTGTGGCATCACTCCCTGCTGGATTCCCATTACCAAATTCTTTAGCTTGGCTTTCACGGATCTCCATCTCAGCCCCCATCCTCTCTCCCACTAAGAACTTCTACTTTTTTTTTTTTTTCCTTCAAGCATGAATCCTTATAATCAGCCATTCAGTCATAGTTTCTAAGTATATCTTGCATATTTCTGTGCCAGTAACATTTATTTTATGTTTCCTCACACAATTCCCCCCCGTTTTACTACATATTTGAATTGGGTCAATTCATTAAATCCCTCTCTGCTTCACTGAAGCCCTCCCAACAGCTTTTTTCTCTTTGATTTTCTACACTACTCACTGCTTATACTACTGGACATTTAATACTAAAAATCAAACTCAACCCACTGCCATTGTGTTGACTGAGGCTTGTTGCGACCCTATAGGACAAGGCAGAACTGCCCTGTAGGGTTTCCAAGGCTGTAAATCTTTATGGAAGCAGACTTCCATATCTCTTTCCCACAAAACAGCTGGTGGGTTCAAATTGCCAACTTTTTGGTTAGTAGCCGACTGCTTAACCAATGTGCCACCAGGTTCCTACCGCTTAATACCAAGCACCTTATCCTGTGGATTCTCCCCTTGCACATGCAGACCTTAGCTACTTAAGTAGCACTTAAGTTCTGTTATAGCAGGGATTTCCTAAGTTGTGTTTTCTTGACAGCATTGCTTCTTGTACGTAGGAGAACCTGGGGTCACTTAAACATTTATTGACTGTCTTTTATGTACCAGATTCTGAATTGGGTGTCACAGGCACAAAATTACTGATTCTATTCTTGGTGATGATGGAAGCGAAGAATCAAAAACATCATTCTTAGAAGTGCTAGATCCCTCCCAGAAATAGACTAAATTAGAATTCTTTTTGTTAATAAGTTCGCCAGGTTAACTTTTTTTTACTTTTAAGATTACCATCTTTATTAGGCTACGACCAGAAATTTGACCTGCTTCCAAATATCAGTAGCCTTGACTAATTAAAAGTTATGGGGAAGTGGCTCAATATTTTCTAACTACTTTCCTTGTTTCCTGTTTTCCACAATCTCTCTTCCTTTTATTAGAGTCCTCTCATGGTCATATTAACATTATCAATGTTAGAATATCTCATCAACTCTCACCAAGCAAATGGCAGATCAACTAAGTAATAATGCTTCTAAGTATTAACTTATATTTCAAAGGTAATTTTGGATTTTAATTATAAAATTTGAAATTCTGTCTTGCATTCTCATATTTAATCAAGAGATTACTTTTTCATGTTTATTTTATATATTTCCTTTTATACATACTGGACAAATATTTATTAGACAAAAATAGAGAGAATCTATTTTACCAAAATAATTGCTTAAACAAAAATTGAGTAAATGTAAAAATGAAAAGTAAAAATGCCATACCTGGGTCCACTCATTTGTCTGAGGATCATAAGCCTCAACTGTATTAAGATAGGTCTGTCCATCATACCCTCCAACAGCATATAGTTTATCACCAAGTAAACAGACCCCCACTGCATCTCTGCTGATGCTCATGGATGCCACTGCAGTCCACATGTCTGTTTTGGGATCATATCTGAAAGTAAATTTTAGAATTGGAGCTGACATTGTTCTCAAAGTATTTTATGTAAAAATAGTTTTATTCTTCAACTCTACCTTCTGTTTTATTATCTACTAAACTAACAGTACATTTGAACATGTTTTAGAGAAAAGATACCAGTATTTTCCAGAAAAATTTTAATTTACACTATTACAGACTCATTTAGCAGATGCACAACACTTAAACTATTCAAAGGCGCTCATGCAAATATGGAAAACTATCTTAAGGCTTTAGATTGTGTTACGGATAGAACCGTATGCTGAAGTCCTAACTCCCGTACCAGTGAATGTGATCTTGTTTGGCGAAGCAGTATTTTTTCTTTTTTTTCAGATGTTACCTGTTAACAAAGGCCTACTGAGTAGGGTGGGTCCTAATCCTAATCCCTCTTGAGTGGTGTCTTATAAAAGAAAAGGCAGATAAACACAGGGAAAACAAGCACGTGAGGATCTGTCTACAAGCAAAGGACGCCAAGGCCTGCCAGCAGCCCCTAGGAACAAGGAGGGAACCACAGAGCAGCTCCTCTCTCCAAGCCCTGAGAAGGAGCCACCACGGCCAAGGTGCTGACTGGCTTCTAGCTTTCAAAACTGTTTAAAAAATTCATTTCTGTTCTTTAAAGCCATGTATTTGTGGTATTTTGTTATGGCAGCCCTAGAAAACTAAGACAGATCGCCTATTTAAAATCTGAAGAAATCAATGCATGAAACTCTATGTATAACTTGCAGCCTGAATCACTGTAGCTTCCCATCCCTGGACTGTCTGGTTCCTTTCATGAGGTACTAAAATTGGAACTTCTCAAAGATGTCTGTCTAGGAGCAGATGTTATGATCTACATGGCTTCTAACACCTCTCATATTAATGAACAACTATTCACTGGGTGCAGTACTAAAGTGAGCCTGTAATTTACAGGGCAAAGTACATAAAGACTTACTTGTTTTCTGAATGATAATACATAACAAGCACAGTCTGAATTATTTGTCCCGAACACAGTGATGGACAGTTATCAATTTTATGGCTTTCTCAGAACACAAGAACCAAGTTTGCTTGTTACTTCCCAGAAAGCTCATTGTTGTCAGCAAAGTTTGATTTCACTATTTATCCTTCTTCTAACAAAAACCAAACCAAACCCACTACCATCAAGTTGATTCCAACTCATAGCGACCTCCTTTGGGTTTCTGAGGAGGTAAATTTTTATGGAAGTAGACTGCCCAGTCTTCCTTCTGCAGACTGACTGGTGGGTTTGAACCACCAACCTTTTGGTTCACAGTCAAATGCCTTAGGCACTACACCACCAGAGCTCCTTATAATTTGTTAAATAAGTCACACTAATCATGTCAACACATATACACTTCTTTCTCTCTTTCATTAACTTCCCATTGCTCTTTACAATCCAAAATCATTCACGAGGCCTCAAAGACCATACCTGATTTGCTTCCACCCCCACCCTACCCCTTTCTTGCCACTCTCTCCATAACTATTTGTTCTCCAGCCACAATGGCCTTCTTTCAGTCTCCTGAGGGAATCATATCCCTTTTTGCTTCAGGGCCTTTACACAGGCTACATTTTTTCT